AGAACTCTGTAGCTGCAAGAGTAGTCATCCCCAGCCCCAGCCCCAGCACAGCAATGACACGGATAGGCAGGAAACCCTTAGAACTGGATGTGGCGCTTCGGGACACGGTTTAGGGGGCATGGTGGTTTTGGGTTTATGGTTGGACTTGATGATCTTGAAGGTCCTTTCCAACCTTTGTGATTCTGTGAATTTGGCATGGTCTTAATTTCTGAAGGTCTTACCAAGTCTGGGCTTGGCTACTTCCCAGGTCCCGGACTCAGTAGGCTTCAATGCTTCCCTAAATATGCTGCCAGTCCTTTAATATGTTTCTTCTCTAACAAGTTCTTTCTGGGATGCTTTTCCAGGCTGGTACTGGGGATCTATCACTGCCAGTGAGGCCAAGCAGCATCTCCAAAAGATGCCTGAGGGCACCTTCCTGGTACGGGACAGCACCCACCCCAGCTACCTGTTCACACTCTCTGTCAAGACAAATCGAGGTCCCACCAACGTGCGCATCGAATACACTGACAGCAAGTTCCGGCTAGACTCAAACTACTTGTCCAAACCTCGCATCCTGGCCTTCCCAGATGTGGTCAGTCTTATCCAGCATTATGTCATGTCCTGCACAATGGAAAGCAAGAACGAGGCTCCTTACCCGCCTCCGTCTCCTCTACCTCCCATGCAAAAAGAGATGACAGCAGCTGCAGTACACTTGAAACTCATCCGGCCGCTCGGCCGCAAAGACAACATCCCCAGTCTACAGCACCTGTGCCGGCTACGGATTAACAAGTCTACAGCCGACGTGGACCAGCTCCCTCTACCGAGGCGGATGGGGGACTATTTGAAGCAATACCCTTTCCAACTCTGAAGCATGGCCATTATATCTCAGGCATGACAGAAAGGGACAGGAGTAAGAGAACTTTGTGTCTTTGTCCCGCTAAAGCGTGGCATCAGGTGGGCACAGTAAAGACCTGATTATCAGCAGAGACTGCATCCATCTTTCCTCTCCCCTTCTCTCTAAATCCATTCCAGCGCCAGGGAGGAGTTGGTTGTTTCAGTGAACAACGGGACGCAATCTGAGCTCTGAACCTCAGGCCGCGCCGATAGTGGCTGTGAGAAAGTGCTGTAGGCATGTGCACACTACTTGAATTTCAGAGTTGCTGTGACACCAGAAATGTTAACATTGTTATTTTTGCTATTTATTTCCAAGGCAGTTTCTCTCCTCATGGTATTTTAAAAGCACCTTTTACTTTATTGTTTTTTGTTTCTTTTTCTTTTGTGGAATTAGAGATAGAGTAAAGGCTCCCAGCCAACTGCCAGCCAAAAATCTGTGGGAATTTGGATTTGGATTCACATCCAAATAGTACCTGTTTGAGCCTGTCCCTGTAACAGGTCACAGGAGTCCACATCCAAGCTCCTTCAGACTTCTGGGGTAAGTGGGACTCAGATGACTGTATCTAGACACCCCTCTACAGAGGTAAAGAATATTTTTTTTCTTCCTTAGCTACAGGGGGCTGGGTATTGTAACCTCAAAGCACAGGGGTAGCAGCTTGTGCATCTCCCAGAGATGCATGCTGCTTCATAGGTTGTGGACAGGAGACTCCTTCAAGGAAGCCCCTGTTCCTTGAGCGCTCTAAGTGGAGATTCTGGACATTGAGCTTGGACCAGGGAGCACTCATCCCATTTTTTTTCATTCCTCTCCTTCTCCAAAGGAAGTTTGTGACAAAGCATTTAGAAAATGTAATCAGAAGTAATCAGAAACCCAGCTTTCTTATTTGCAGGCAGAGGGACTTGGTTTTAGAGCACTCTGCATTTGGCTTGCATTTTGAAAGTGCTGCTCCCTGGCACTGCCCTTGTCTTGTGAGATGTGGGGCAAGAACGGGGTCTCCTTGACCAGGGGTTGAGAGACAGCTCTGCTGAGCTGCACCAGTGACGCGCACAGCTTCAGGATATTTATTTATTTATTTCTGGGGGGGTAACAAGGTAGAAGCACCTCAATAGAAAGAGCCGTCCCTCCTCTCTGCTAACACAACGCCAAACCGCCTGTTGCTCTGCTTCTGCCAGCATTATTCACAAGCCACGCGGCTTCAATCAGAGCTAGGCTCTCGCACACACTGGAAACCACAAATCAACTTTTCTGTTTGCCACGGTCCAGACCTCTCCTCTCCCCTTCTCCGACTTGCATGTTTGTTATCCTTAATTAGATTTTTTGCTCTGGGTTTACCTCTTGGCCCCATCCCTTTCGCACCCCTGCAAATGAAACACAACGGCTCTCCCTTGCTCTTTTGTAAATAGGAGGGACAAGCAGCGGATGGGATCTGCCCAAAACCAAGCATAGACAGAGAAGTTGCCCCTTCCTCTTCATTCGCTTGATGCTGTCACCTCCCCAGCCTGTAGGAGCCAGTCCATGCCATTGAGTGAGAGTAGAGAAGGGAACAGGCAGGTCTAGAAAAATTATCTTTTGGCTTCTTTTGCTCCTAAGACCCTATAACTTGATCAAGCACGAACCCATGTTAAGGATTCCTCATTCATCCCTCCCTGGGACTGTCTCTCTAAGGGACAAATCCCAGCTATACCTGAGGTTTGGGAGAAGATGTGGAAAAAAGTGGGATAGTGACCCAGGAGACAAGCTCAAAAAATGGGTGGAGTTTCTTCCACCCTATTTTAAAGCTGCGCAAAAGGACACGATGGCCTGATGTGCTTAGTCAGGGCCCTTTTTTTTTTTTTTCCTCCACATTTATATAAGTTTGTGCTCTTGCAAGCTTTGTTTTTGATACTTTGATGATTGACAGCGTGCATGTGTGATGTCAAGTTTGTTTTTTATTATATCCTTCCCCCTTGCCCTATATGGCAGCAACTGTGGGAAGGTACTGAATGAGAATGAAAACATAGAAGGCAAAACAAAAAAGATTTTTTTTTAATAGTATAAACAATAAACCACTGAAAAGGCTTCCTTTTATCCAAACACCTCTATCTGCCTGAGGACACTGGGAACAAGGAAACCACAGCTCCTCAAGGAGCAGCAGTGATCTCAGGAAGCCCACATGGGTCAGCTACAGGCTTGGTATCTGCAGCATGTGAAAATCAGTTTGAGAAATGTACAGTGGGAAAGGGGAAGTAGTTCAGCGCTCTGAAACTTGCCTCCTACTTGATCTTTTCTCTGTTGGGGGTAATGAGGAAATCAAGCTTGCAGGTTGGACCTCATTGCCCCAAGAAAGCCTAGCTAAAATGGCAGAAGCATGTAACAAGGATGAATGCCTGGTTAATCCCGCAGCAGGACGACGCAGAGGCTAAGCTGAAGGCTGTAAGCTCAAATGGGCAGGGACCATCTCTGTTATATGTTTGTTCCGCATCTAGCACAATAGGGTTCTCTAGGTGCTACTGCAATACAAAGAATAAACAATAGTTACTCCAAAAAGTCAGTTTCTTCTATCTTGAGGCAGTTTGTTAAAAATCATTTGACTTGGATTTTAAATAAACATTTAAAATATATTTTAAAGCCACTTGATGTAGAAGTTTTTGGTAAAATCCAAATGGATTAATTCATTTCCTATTCACAGAAATTCTCCCAAGATGACCAGACAAACTCTTGGCCCTTTTTTCCAAACAAGAAACAAAAACCTTTAACAAAAAGAAAAGCCCTTCAGATACTGGGAGAGTTAATACCAAAACCATCACCAGCGTGGACCTGGTTTCTACTGCACACAGATGCGCAGCAGCAGACCCCCAAGTCCCAAGTTAACAAGGGCTTAAGGAACGTTCTTTAATGATGTAGAAAAACACAGGAATGATTTTTATATTGCTTCTGTGTGCCATAGAAAACCATTACAATCTAGGGGAAAGGAGATGGAATGTAAGTGGAAGTTTGGCAACTTGTTTACAGCAGGCTTCAAGTTGGCCCCAAAGAAAATTCTGCTCATGGTAGTGTTGAAAGACGCATTCATGAAAGGCAGACCGTGTGTCGGATGCGAGACTCGTGGCATCAGCTTTTTCCCCGTGTTGTGCTGCCGCTGGGCCTCAGTTTCCCCGTATTTGCAGTTTGGCTCAGCACCCTTTCCCCTTCTGATCACCTCACGTGCCAGACACAGCGGCAGGGAAACCACCGGGGAGCTGGATCTGCCCTATGGTGTCAGAGGGAGACAGAGGCCACCTCATCTGTCCCGCCTCTGTGAAACGCAGGGAATACACCGAGGGAAGCCCACTACTGGCACATGACTCCACTGTGGCCCCTTCGCACTCACTTCCCAGGAGAGATGCTCATGCCACAGTCCCCCCCAACCTGCCCAAAGCAAGGCACGGCATGGTCTCAACCACTGGAAACAGTAAAATATGCTGAGAAAAATACAGCAGCTCAACCGGTTCCTCTCTGTCATTCTCCCTTTCTGAATCCACTGGCTTCAAAGTTCAAAATACCGCTTTAAAGTATTCCTAAAGCACGTGCTGTCCTTTCTACGGCAGCCATGGGGCTGGCATTCACAAGCAAACCTTCTTTCCACAGCCTCATCAATGTGAGTCCATGGGTAGATTTCCACTGCACACTAACCAGGAAATGTTGGCAACAGAATAATCTGCTCAGGTTTAAGCTGTTAAACATGAACGATCACGTCCCTCTTGGTTTTATGGGAAAGGTGGAAAGCAAGCTAGACAGAGCAGAAATAGAAAGGAAATCAAAGTAAGTGGAAAAATTAAAACAAAAGGAAGGACAAGCTGCATCCACCTTTATAAGAGAACTTTGAAAATCCTGAAAAGAAAGATGCAGCATTTCTGACACATTATTAAGTAATTTCTTAATTTCTTAGCTGGGTGAAACTCTTCCCCTAGCTACATATATGAAACCCTGCTGCTCCTTTGCCACAGATTGGAGGCAGAAGCAATTGGCATGAGTCAAGCCAATACACAACTGCAGTCACACGCGGTGGTTTTACTGCATCGGCTGTTATCTTAACAACTCCTACTGCTGCATCTTCAGCACATTTTGTTAAAGCAAACAGGTTCATGTTCTGAGAACACCTGTGCCAAACCTCCACACAGACTGAACTGATTTTTACAACAAAGTTAGACATCTCTGGAAACAGGAGCATTCGTGGAAATGCAGACTGACCTTTATATAATGACTGAAGTACAGCTGCAACACCTCTCCTGGCAACACCTGTACAGTTCGCTGAGCCAGTGCAGGACAATTTGGTCGGATTCTCTCTTGGCTTGCAGTTTTTGACTACAGATAAGACACATGGATATGAAGCCCTCACTGAGAGTCTGAAAAGCAGACTGATAGGGTTGGGAATAGAAATCCCAGTCCATGACTGAAACCATGCTACCATGGCTCACTGCCACAGCAGAAATACCCTGCAGTTTGTCAGGCACATATGGTATCATTTTCTGTCTTAAATAATCAGCCTTCTGAAAGAGCAACACATGCAAGGGAAAAATAACCCATTTATGTGCACATACGCCTATTCTCTCAAACTTACTGAAATCTTATTTCTTTCCCCAGATCCTCGCAAGTACGCAACTTCCCTTAAGCTAGGCCAGATGAACCAGCAAGAAATGAAGTGAATCAGCAGAGTGTATTTAATTCTCTTACGACAGACATGGTCAGGCGTTTCCAGCAATGAACATATTACATGGCATTTCTAGTCCAAATTCCATTGTCAGTCTTACCTGCTAGCTAGGAAATTAAGATGATTAAAATCAAAATTAACTTGATACTGCCTGTACGGCTCTTCTGCCCTGCCGAATCGTGTTTTCATGTTCAAATCTGTCAAAAGCCAATTACCACAGTCCTTTCCTGTGTCTCCCTAATCTCTGCTGAAGCACTTGCAATCCTCACGGAAATGCACCATCCCCTTCCACACCTCTGAACTCATC